CAAAAATTGCTACTTAGAAGAGAGTTACAGAATATATTGCGAATCTAACACTCCCACAATTCACATAAACGGCATGAGACTGGAGGTGACAAAAATTTCAATTGAAGGAAGCATCACTGTGAATTTTCCAATCCTCTTCCAAAATTGCAACAAAGATCTCAGGAGCAATAATGCAATCATTTTTTGACTTGGAAAGGAGTCCTTTTGCTTTCTTTGCAGCATCGACTAGGTTCGTTGCAGTGGGTTGCAACAACCTTTCTTTGCTGACAAAGAATGGATCAGCTGTTGGTGGGTGCATGTCAATTTGCCAGGAAAGCACAAGTGCTGCTGCCTTTACGTACAGATTCTAGTTGCAGCGGCGTCCACTGCTGCCAGACCACAATCCCTTCAGATCTTAAGGTTTTAATGCAACCTTGAAAGTCGTAGATGAAGATGACAATGATCAATGCAAGTATGGTTATTTAGTCGACCAAAGTTGGTTCAAAGTAAGCTTATATAAAAATATTTCTGTCATGGATATGGAATCTGTGCCCGTGGTGCTAAATTGGGAAAGCGATTATGAGTTTAAGGAATCGATATCTATAAGCCGGTTTCCCATTTGTAGCCTAAGAAATTCCACGTTTTCAACTGGCGAAACGATTGGTAAATGCTCCTGCGGTTCTGGGTTACAAGGCAACCCCTATGTTGATGGTTGTTATGGTAATCTTTCTCCACACTAGCCACTCCATTTTTTATTTTTATTTTTGGCTGCTGCCTGCTGGCATATTTTGTTTATGCAAGGAAAAAATGAGTTAACTATTGAATTAAATTTTCTCCATATATTCAGATATTCATGAGTGCCAATGCTTCAACCCTTGCAATGGCAAGGACGTTGTCCGTGAAAACACCTATGGTTCCTACCGTTGTGTGATGCTTGAAAGCAAGAAACCTCGGGATAAAATGGTGGTTTTAGGTATGTAGATTGTACCCTATAACCTGAAACAATTTTTTTTTTTTTAATTAGTTAGCAATTGCATGTATATTTTAAATCATTTATATCGTACGTAGAATGACTATTTTTGGATATTGCCAATTCTTTTTACACAAAAAAAGGGCTTATATTTTGTGTTTTTTTTATATTATATACATATAGGGCTTTTGTTTATGCCTGTAGATCTTATATTTATTATTTTATTATTAATTGAAACCTTTTATTTTTTTATTTTTTATTATTTAAGATCCTTTGTTATACCATCATTAGTTGTGAGCTAACGTGAAGATAACGCCATGCGTCCATTTCTAAATACTCGACACACGTCATTCGTAAAACTTTAATAAAAAAAAAAAACTTGATCAAAACAATTTAAAATATATGAGATTCAATCAAAATAATTTTAAGAGTGTTGGAATCGCATTACTTTTATTATTTTTAAATTTTCATGTTATTGTGCTTTTAAAACATGATTTTAAATACCGTAAAATGTATCATTTATGAAAACTCATCACAATAAAACTAAGTAGAGTTTTTTAAAAAATAATAATAATAATAATTTAAAATAATAAAAATACATATAAAAAAACCTAACACATAATTAAAAAAACACAAATATATTTATTAAAATTTAAATGAAAATAATAGTAATGTTGACTATAAGCTCATAATTTATACGAAAGAAAGAAAAAAAACAGTATAGTCAATTTTTCTTTTTAGAAAATAATTTTTTTTTTTTTGAATTAGTCTAATATTTGTTTTTTTTTAACTTTTTAATATCCATCTATTTATTACTCATTTAATACCACCTAAAAATAATTTATTGAATTACTTCACTTTAGTCATAAATTTCAAAAAAGCTATTTTGGTCCTTAAAATTAATATTTTTTTTACAATTTTGCTCTTTATTAATAATCTTTGGTCGTCAAAGTCTTTACACAAAAACAAGTGGTTAATTCTTTACTTTTAAAAGTTTATACAATCAGATCTCTCCATTTTTCATTTTTTATTTTTTTGAGTGTTCCCTTTTCTCCTTTTGTAGTCACGATTCCTGTTCTTTGCAATAGTAGGAAATTTCTTCTATCAAGTGTTCTGTTTCACATTAACTAGTCAGCCATGAATATTATGTTCATATAGATATGATGTACTGTGTTTTGAAAAAAAAAATTCAGGCAATCATTTTCCGTGCAGCGTCGTCTCCATGATTACGAGAGATAGGACCCATACAACAATTAAACACTCTTAAATCTTAAGTTGTTCTTACAAAACTGAAAAAAAGTACGCAAAGAAAAACTTCAGTTTACCAATTCTGGAAGGGGTTGCTAGATTTTCAAGTACAACCTGCAGCTTGATTGGATCTTTAATAATTTAAGGAAGTTAATTATCATTGATGGAATGATATACAGAAGAACAGTGAGATCTACACCTCTATTTTTCATGATTAAAAATATAGAACAAGCGCGCGCGCGCGCATATATATATATATATATATATATATATATATATATAAACATTAGCCATATTCATAAAAAAGAAGAAGAAGAAGAAGACGAAGACGAAGAAGAAGAAGAAGAATTGGCCATCCGATTTGTTTAGTTGCATGCAAACCTTCATCAGACTGCTATGTACACTCCAAAAATTGATATGATGAGTAGAGTGATTGAATTTATGAAAATATGAAGCAATGAAAGTATTAATTTGTTGAGTTATGCAGGTCTTGGCATAGGACTCGGGATATTGGTTCTCCTGACGGGTACATGGTGGTCGTACAAAATATTCAAGAGAAAAAGAAAAGAAAAACTCAAGAAGAAATACTTTAAACAGAATGGTGGGTTATTGCTACAAGAACAACTATCTTCAGGTGAAGTCAATGTAGCGAAAATCAAAATGTTTCCTTCAAAAGAATTAGAAAAGGCGACCGATCGTTACAACGTTGACAGAATACTTGGTCAGGGAGGCCAAGGTACAGTTTACAAAGGAATGTTGACAGATGGAAAAATCGTTGCTGTCAAGAAATCCAAACTAGTTGACGAAAGCCAACTCAGACAATTTATCAACGGGGTTGTTCTTCCATCCCAAATTAACCATAGAAATGTTGTTAAACTTTTAGGTTGTTGCTTGGAGACTGAAGTTCCCTTGTTGGTCTATGAATTAATTCCTAACGGGACCCTTTTCCAATTTCTTCATGACCCAAACGAGGAATTCCTTTTAACTTGGGAAATGCGGTTAGGGATAGCGACAGAGGTAGCAGAGGCACTTTTCTATCTACACTCAGCAGCTTCCATCCCCATTTACCATGGAGACATCAAGTCTACAAACATATTGCTTGATGAGAAGTACAAGCGAAAGTAGCAGATTTTGGGACTTCAAGGTCCGTAACCATTGACCAAACTCATGTCACAACTCAAGTACAAGGCACCTTCGGATACTTGGATCCAGAGTACTTCCAATCAAGCCAGTTCACAGACAAATTAAAGTGATGTCTATAGCTTTGGTGCGATCCTCGTTGAGCTACTCATTGGACAAACGGCCGGACAACTGCCTATTTGATATTTTTCTTATTCTCAAGTTATGATGCATGGCAAAAACGAGGATGTATTGATGGTTGCTAGCTTGGCTAGGAGCTGCTTGAAATTAACCAGGAAAGAAAGGCCTTCAAAGAAGAGTTCCTTTAGTGTTGGAGGGCGTTGAAAATTCATTTATAAATCAAAAATCAGCTAAGGATTTCAACAATGATCTACAGGAGAATGAATATGACAGAGGTCATGAAGTAATGGATTCTCGTTGGGATCTTGCTTCTACCTCAACAGGCTAAGGTTGTAGATTTGGTCCTATATGTTTTCTTGACTAGTTCATGATGAAGCAATCAGTGATTATATTGTGATAACAGCTAATTGGCGAAAGGACCTTCATTATCAGTCAAGAATGGCTGCTAGAATAGGGCTCTGAGACATATACAAGCCTTAATTTCTACTGAGACAGGTTATGATACTAGTCTAGTGAAAGTAAAAAGGAAAACAAAACCATTTGTCATTTTCAATCATTTCTGTATTCCAAGAAACTACGATTTTTCTTTCTTTTGTAGGTGAATTGGGAGGAAGTGTGCAAAAGTTTAAGAGTTCATCATACCTTAGTCCCTATAGTTTATCAAAACTAATTAATGAGTCCCTTAGTATGAAAAATTAACAATCCAGTCCCTTTACTAGCTTGACCATCTTCAATTTATTAGATTCTTTTCAAAAAGGCCTTCTTTCATAATCAAATTTTCTCATGCTGGCTAAATCTTTTCTTTTTTCCTATTTTTTAAAAATAAATTGGAATAGAACTTGGAACGGGTGTAAGAATTGAGTTATAAACAGATTTTAAAAGACCATGAAGACTAATTAATTAATTTTATTTAATTAAGTGATATAATTAACTCAGGATTTAATTTAACAAATAGTACTGTTAAGACTTTGAGAGTAAATTATAAATTAGTCTCTCTAGATTTCAGAAGGAATTAAATAATTCCTCTAGTTTCAATAACTAATTAATTGGTTCATATAGTTTTAAATATATTTGTAACTTAACCTTTTCATTTGTTTTTAATTTATTTTGTATGTTTGTTTTAATAAACATAAAAAGAAAAATATGAAAAGATTGATGAGAAAAAAATATCTTCTTAGAACAAGATAATATTAAATTAATTATGATCAATACTGGTTAAAAGACTAATTAAATTAGTTTGTAGAATGAGAAGAACTATTCAATTCATTTTAAAAAAAACTAGAAGGACTAATTTATAATTTATTCAAACTTTTGACCCAGCTTCCAACTCTTATACAGAGCGGCATCTTTGGTTTGGTCAACTCCCACATCTAGTAAAAAAAAAAAAAAGCTATGAACCCTTCAAAGATTAGTTGGGAACTTCACCAGCAAAGTAAATTTTGAAGGATCTGATGTAGACTGGTCTTTTTTCCTTATAAAATCAAGTGGCAGGATTTTCATTTCTGCTCAAAAAACCAGGGAGACGAAAGCTGCGAAGAAAAAAATGGCTATGCAGGTAGTGTTTCAAATCATTTTTCTGTTCTGGTCATTGAATCCATTTCTTGCAGAAGCACAACCTATAACAAAAAGTGGATGTCAAGATCGCTGTGGAAACATCAGCATTCCATATCCATTTGGAATGCAACCCGGTTGCTACTTAGAAGAGAGCTTCAGGATAGATTGCAACTCTAGCAGCACTCCTAGACTTTCCATAAATGGCATCAATCTAGAGTTGACAAAAATTTCAGTGGATAGTGCCACCACCATTCAAATCAATTTTCCAATCATCTTCCAAAATTGCAGCAACAAAAACAGTAGCAGCAATGCACCGGTCGTCGACATGGAAGGTAGCCCTTTTGCTTTCTCAACTACGAATCGGTTAGTTGCAGTTGGTTGCGGCAACCTTACTTTGCTAAGCCGAAATGAGTCTACCGTCCAAGGGTGCATGGCAAACTGCAGCCAGAACAGTAGTGCTGCCTCTGCAAACACTACTGGTTGCAATGGTATCAACTGCTGTCAAACCACGATCCCCTCAGATCTCGATTTTTTCAACGCAACCTTAACAGATGTAGATGACAACGGAAAGAATCAATGCAAGTATGCCTACTTAGTCGACCAAAATTGGTTTTTTAATCTGAGTTCATCTAGTAACATCTCGGTGATAAGAGATATGGACTTTGTGCCTGTGATGCTGGATTGGAGAATCGATTCAGGATCATACGAAAAGCTGGTGGCGAATGGATCGGCATATAATTTAACATATTTAACATCTTCGGGGACTTCCACTTGTAACATGACAGGAAGCCAAAACTCCTCAGGAGTGCTTGAATGTTCTTGCTTGCCAGGCTTTCAAGGCAATCCTTATCTTCCAGATGGTTGTCATGGTAATCATTCTCAACCAACTCTGTTTTAAAAAAACTAAATTTCTGCTAGCTAGTAAAACGTTGTGTTATTATGGTTACTTCTTAAAAAACCTTGCATGAAGTACGGAATTTTTTGTTGTCTACCTATTCAGATATAAACGAATGCGAGTATGCTGACAACAGTTATAACGCGACTTGCTCCGGGGACCAAATCTGTATAAACTCTTACGGCAGCTACACTTGTGTGAAACTTGGAAGCAAGAAATCTCCGGTTAAGATGGTTCTTTTAGGTATGTTGCTTTGAAACCAATATCAAGAAAGAAATGGACTTTATTCTTTATTCAACAGTGTGGGATAGCATGAGTTTGTCAAAAATGGGAACCATAATATCAAGAAAGCTTGCTTATTTGTTAATCTTTATGCAGGTTTTGGAGTGGGGCTTGGGGTATTGGCCCTATTTATTGGTGCATGGTGGTTGTACAAATTTGCAAAGAAGAGAAAGAAGGAAAAGCAAAAGAAGAAGTTCTTTAAACGGAACGGTGGTTTGTTGCTGCAAGAACAACTATCATCAGGTGAAGTCAAAGCTGAGAAAATCAAATTGTTCAGTTCAAAGGAATTGGATGAGGCCACTGATCATTACAACTTGAATAGAGTGCTTGGCCAAGGAGGCCAAGGTACAGTTTACAAAGGAATGTTGGCAGATGGGAAAATCATTGCAGTCAAGAAATCTAAAATCCTTGATGAATGGAATCTCAGGCAATTCATTAATGAAGTTGTCATCCTTTCCCAAATTAACCACAGGAATGTGGTTAAGATTTTGGGTTGTTGTTTAGAAACTGAGGTTCCAATGTTGGTCTATGAATTCATTCCTAATGGAAACCTTTACCAGTTTCTCCATGACCCAAATGAAGAACTCCCATTAACTTGGGAAATGCGAGTGAGGATTGCAACAGAGGTCTCTGGGGCACTTTCCTACCTACATTCAGCAGCTTCCATTCCAATTTTCCATAGAGATATGAAGTCTACAAACATACTACTAGATGAGAAGTACAGAGCCAAAGTAGCAGATTTTGGGACTTCGAGGTCAGTAACCATTGAAGAAACTCATGTCACGACTCTAGTACAAGGCACCTTTGGGTACTTGGATCCAGAGTACTTCCAAACAAGCCAGTTCACAAACAAGAGTGATGTTTATAGCTTCGGGGTAGTCCTTGCTGAGCTACTCACTGGACAAAAGCCAATCTCTTTCATAAGGTCAGAAGAAGAAGTAAGAAGTTTAGTAGGATATTTCATTGCTGCCATGGAGGAAAACCATCTTTTCGAGATTCTTGATCCTCAAGTTATGATGCAAGGCAAGAAAGAAGATGTAATGATGCTTGCTAGGATGGCTAAGAGCTGTTTGAGCATGAAAGGAAAAGAAAGGCCAACAATGAGAGAAGTGACAATGGTGTTAGAGGGGATCCAAAAGTCATACGGGACTCAAAAATCACACAACTTCATCATTCCTCAACAGATCGAGTATGATATTAATGATTTCAAGGAGGGACAATGGGACCTTGCTTCTGTCTCAACAGATTCTGGCTTGGATAGTCGTGCTGGTTCTTCACTAGACAGAAGATCACTCTTAAATAATACATATTAAATAGAATTAATGCGTCACTTAACAAAGGCTAGATTAGAACTGTTTTCATCTTTTGTGACTAACAAATATTCGTTGATTTAAGTAAAGGTGAAGTTGAAGACACAATTCAACATTAATAGTAATTAAGTTTTAGAAATAGTAAATGACTATTTGACGTTAAGAGAAAACATTCGTTATCAATTCATAAGAAAATTTTGTATGATTTGTTTATTTGTTCAATATTACTCTAGTATTTTTCTAATTAAGATAGGTTTGGTGTGCGGTCAAAAATTTTATTTCGATGTCATTTATTTATGTGCCTAACCTAGCTAAAATCAAAGAGATTGTAACTTTGTAATAGTGATCTCTTGTAAAAAAAATTATGGTTTCAAATTTAACAGATTAGTTCTGTTAAGAGCTTCGGGTATATGAGTTAAAAAAAAAAAAAAACTAGCAGAAAAATCATAGGAATGTCTTTAGATGGATGAATCCAGTATTTTTCTAGTTAATTTGGGAAAAATTATAGTATTGAATGTCATGTTGGATGAATCTAGTATTTTTCGAATGCATAAAAATATATCATTAGTCAATCAGTTAAATGATATTTAATTAGTGTAGGATTTTGGGCCTAATTTATAAAGAAGAAAACATCATAGGAATGTCTTTGGATAAAATCTATTTAAATTAGCCCATTAATTTCACATCCCTTCATGACTATTGACCAGCTTTAATTAATATGTTGTGTCATCCATCCTTGTGCCCATGACTTCTTCTCTTTTGCTACGCCTGCCGGCAGCGCGCAGGCATTGAATTAATGTCTTTGATAAACCAAACACATTCTAGAATTTGCCGCTACAATCTGCAAATACAATATCTTCAGGAACTTGCCAAGTAATTCAAGAAGAAGTGTGTTACAATGTCTGAACAAATTCATCCAAAAACAAAAAGTTAAGATAAATTAATATCTTATCTTAATATATGCTTCCTGTAAACAAATACTTGATTAGTCCGAATGGAACAAAAGTGAAAGGCAGCTATGGAGTTAGTACTGTACTTTCAGCTCATGCTGTTGACGGTTGTTGTGGTCATTTCATGATCCGTTGCTCATAGCAGAAGCACAGGTACTGCCACTCTCTGGAATATTTTGTGGATTGGCCTGTGGCGACGTTAGCATTCCATATCCGTTTGGAATGGAGAAGCTAGCAAGTTGTTACCTAGAAGAAGGGTACAAAATACATTGCAACTCTAGTGAAATTCCCATACTTTCGATAAACGGCGCTGATCTGGAGGTGACAGACATTTGAGTTGATGATAGCACTGTTACGGTTAACTTCCCAATTGTCTTTTCAAATTGCAGTGGCAAAGAAAGAGACACTTGTTATTGACCTGGAAGGAAGCCCTTTTTTTTCCTCCTCCGAATTCCAATTACTTCGTGATGTAGCAAAAGCTCATAAGAGAAAAAAAATATGGTTGATCTAGAACTCACACACAAACTCCAGATACTAATCTACTACAACCTGTTGATTTGCATATAAATACCAAGAAGTAAGCTTCAATTCCATTGATTCAAGGAATGCCGAAAATTAGTATAGACTGAAATACTCTCATAAAACTTTATTAGTCAAGAAAAAGTATCATTTTTTTTGCTTCTAAGTCATACATAAATAGGAAAAAAATCAGCAAAACCCTAAACCAATTCAAAAAAGAAACAAATCCAAAAAAATAAGAAAAAACACGAAAAACAGTAAAAGTTGATTTTAAGAGCCTAAATAGCATTTATTTGCTAAAATCATCCCTATATCATAAGCAAAGCCTATGAGTTTTGTTTGTTAGCCTTTTTTAATAGGAATTTTATTGATTGGGATCTTAATTATTAAAAAATAATATAAATCATATTTTAAAACCTAACTTACCGAGAGAACATATAAATTATATTTTGAAACCTTATACAATAACTTGCTGGATGAAGCCTAACCTAAGATATAATCTCAAGATAAAATTTATATTATTCTCTAACATCTTTTCAATCCAAAATGCCGTAACAAGCAGAAATTACACCTAAATCAATATAATAAGTGAGTATAAGATGAAAAAATCAGCCTTGATTCCAGTTCGATTTTCTGGTGGCTTTGTCTAGCTGTATTCAAACACCTGGTGAATCTAGTATCAAGCCAATGGATTTGGATTCCATATATATTTTCCATGTTATCAATCTCTTATCTAAAGCAAAATATAAAAAGGGAAGAAGCAAAATATAAAAAGGGAAGAGGAAATAAATAGACAGATATGCATCGAAGTTTCATTTCATTATAGTTTTTGGAATATATATATATATACACACACATAAGGCAGAAAACCAGTACATAGTCATGGCATAAAAGCCAAGACAGGAGGGAAAAAGGAGACAACAGTCTCTTAAGCCTATATCTGAAAGGGAAAAATAAAAACTAAAGTCCTGATTTGAAGTTTGATTGTATATCAAGAGCATCTGATTGCATTGCGTTGCTATAATCTCATCATGGTCTTCGTTATTGCTCTTGACATTTCTGTGAGTTCTAGCTTTACTAGCTACTGGGTTTTTCATTATTGCTCTGTTATAAAAGAATATATTATTGCTCATCAAATCCAATTATGACATTTTATTGAAATAGATAACTGAGATTGAACTTTATTTATAAAAATGTTTAAATTTTATTTGGGTATTATTTTTTAATTTTATATATTATTTATTTATTAGATGTAAAACTTGTTTTTTAATTTTTTTTTTTTACTTGCAGATCATTTTTCTGATATATAAAGTGCAGATTTCAAAAATTTTGTTGAATTGTTGGATTTTTTAAGGTTATGATAATGTATTAAATTAAAAAATCGATGCAGCATTTCATTTAAAAGATTGATGTTTTGTTGTGGGTGACCAAGATTGCCTGTCACTGCTTTAGTTGTAAGTTACATAATTCGAAGTTTCTAATTGAAATAATATTTAATTTAATATTTAAGTCTATTTGTATTCAATTGATATTATCTTAATCTGTTTCATGTATTTATCATGGATTTAAGTTTTGTAATAGGGTAAGCTCCTATTGGTATCTATTTTCCTAGAGTTTTTCTTTTTTGTGAAATCGGTAATTAGATTAATGAAATAAGTTAGTAGCAAGCTAACAAAAAGATATGAGACTAGACTTAGCCAAATAATCAACTACAAAGTTTTTGTTTTTTTTTCCGAAATACATTAGTGAAAGAAACTAATTTTAATCTCAAAATCAGATTTGAGTCAGCTACAGAGTTATTTTTTTCTAAGATATGCCTTATGATTCCAAGGATAACATTCAGATTCCTTCCTATCTTAGGAAAAGGAACACCATAGCTGACTGAAACCTAATTTTGTGTTTAAAATCAATTTTTTTCACTCGACATCTTAGTTTAGTTGTATTTTTTTTTCTTGCCCTTGCTAACTTCTTTTATTAATCTACTCATCGATTTCATCAAAAACAAAATAATTTCTTTGTTTTAAAAAGATTGTCATGTTTGAATTTTTATTTATATTTAAAAATATTATTAATTGACTTGGACAAAATAGTAAAAAGCTTGTATACACATAATTGGACAATCGAAAGCAAACCAATCCCATTCCTGCGGCATCAAAGGGCATCCGAGTAGTTTACTCGCTAAAATTTCTCAAATTATTCCTCAAGACAAAGGGCCAACTGATCCCAGAATGCAAGTGCATCTTGGGATATAATTTCTCAAGTATGGCCTTTTTGTTTAATCCATGCACTTTTAGGAAATTTGTTATTAGATAGTTGCCAAATTAGGCCTGCTAAATATGGGAAAAGAAAATCTGCATATATATTCACCATGTATGTAAACTTTTTGGCATACATATAACACTAGACACACCAAACCTAATCCCAAAAAAATCTGATATTGTAATTCATTCAATTGACAATCAATCTCATGTAAGGCCCTTTTGTTCAATCCATGCACTTTTAAGAAAAGGTTTTATGCATATTAAAACTCTGTACAATTCGATTTTTTTTTTACCGAGACCTTAAATTTTTTTCTATTTAATTTAAGAGTTCTACTTTTATATTATTGTTGTTTCATATCCTAGCCAATGACAACTTACCATGTAAGCATACGTAGCAAGTTCTAGCCAATAACAATTTGTCACGTCATCAATTCAATCACCTAATTTGAACTCACTATAACACGTGACAATGTATCATTGGCTAGAACTTGCCACATGTGATTGCGTAACACATTAAGATTTGAAATAATAACAATATAAGAGTAGAACTCTTAAATTGGATAAAAAAAAAAAAAAAAAAACTTAGGGTCTTGATCAACAAAATTCGAATTGTATAGGATCTCCATATGTACAAAACCTTTGTAGGAAATTTGTTATTAGGTAGTTGCCAAATAATGCCTGCTAAATATAGGAAAAAGAAAATCTGCATATATATTCATGCACCATGTATGGAAACTTTTTGGCATAGAATACTAGGCACAATTAACAAACCTAACCCCAAAAAAGATCTGATATGGCAACTCATGCAATTGGCAATCAATCTCAAGTAAGGCCCTTTTGTCCATGCACTTTTAGAAAATTTGTCATTAGATAGTTACCAAATTATGCCTGCTAAATATAGGAAAAAGAAAATCTGCATATATATTCACCATGTATGGAAACTTTTTGGCATATAATGCCAGACAAACCAAACCTAACCCCAAAAAAGATCTGATATGGTAACTCATTCAATTGGCAATCAATTATCCAGGCCTATAAATAAGTGGGAACCATGCATTCTAAAAAGAATCCAAAGTAAACAGATCAAAAAACCTCTTCCAAACATGATTTCCTTCACCAGACGTTTCGTACTGCTAATATTATCATCTCTGCTACTGATTATATCTTCTTGTGATGCAAAATGTGTTTTGACACCAACACATTTGAATATCACTAATGACTTAGGTCCAGGCTTGGACCTTACCATCCATTGCAAATCCAAAAATGATGATCTTGGGGCGCATTTAGTCCCTTATCGTGGCGAATATACAATGGATTTTTGCCCCAATGTTTGGGGAAATACACTGTTCTTTTGTAGCATGTCATGGGCACGTGAATCCCATTGGTTTGATATTTTCAAAAGTTCCAGGGATGATTTTCGTTGTGGTGATTGCAATTGGACGATAGGTGCAACTGGCCCATGCGTGTATTATTATACTCTTACTCGACAAACGGTGTCTGATTGTTATCCTTGGAATAATAAGGCATATCTTCATTGAAGTGCTAGCTAGTTAGCTCTATCTCATTCTGTACATGTTTTTGTTAGCTGCATAAAATAAAGGGAAAATAAAAAATTGTACTATGTGAGTTTGATAATCCAATGTTTTACATGATGACTTGAGACCACAATTTCTAAATTTTAAATCAGTGCAAGTTTTTACGACTCCTTGCGTCATTCACAAAAAGGACATAAATTTTCCGGTATATACTAATGATATCTTTTTTTAGCTACAAAGTCTAGTAGGTAGTTTATTCATGACAAGTAGCCGAGTTAAACATTTCACTTTAGAAGGAGCTAAATGCAACCATACATAGGATTTAATAAAGGATTCATCTACAACGAACAAATTATGAAGGATATATTAGATGATAGGTGATAACTATCATTGATTTGAATTACAAATTCAAATCAATGATAATTCAAATTTAAATGTAATCATTAATTTGATTTTTTTTTGTAATTAAAATGCAAATCTAATCATTGATTTGAATTACATTATAGGATGTCAACATGATTCAATCCAGTTAAGCCGATCAAAAGACGCATGCCTTCCTTTTGTTTTCTTGAAAGGCCTACGTCAATGGTGATAGCCTAGAGTTTTGCTAATCTTAATGATCAACAATTCGAATCCTACTTTCTTTATTTTATTTTGTTAATTGATTAAAAATAATTAAACGCAAGATAATTTGAATTTATTTAAATTTTAAACTGTTAGAGAGTAATATAAAGCCAAAAAAAATACTATGAGTGGGTGGGCATATGGACTGCTGCCATCAATAAACCCAAAAAGTCTTTACCCAATTAAAAAAGGTCTCATATGTGTACCCTAGAAAAGATAATTGGTAGGTGTCAATATGAGAGAAATAAAGCAGTGGGCATTAGTAAGCTGGGTGACTAGACTTGTGAAGTTTTGGGTGGAACTAATTTCCAGGGTGTTTTGATTTTTGTGAGTTGTAAAAGAAGTAGAACTGGATGTCACTGGTGCAACGTTGTAAAAAATTGACTCTAATATCATATCAAAAAATATTTATATTATTCTCAAACACACTTTTTAAAGTAAAAGCCTTTCGGGTTTCAAACTTGCATAGGCTCATTATTACCTTGTATTTAATTCGAAGAGAAAGTAAGAGTGGTGAGATTTAAACTCACGATTGTTTAGTCATAAAAATTCGATACAAAATAAAGTTAAATACTTGAGATTTTGTTCCATCTAAAAGACTTAAGTCTTATGATATATGGCTAATTTCTCAACTTTTTATATTATTTATATTTAGTTTAATTATTCAATGTAAAATATGTTCAATGACACAAGCCCAAAAGGCACTTGAAATGATACATTAGAAAATAATATAAATCTGCACTTTCTATTCTAATTAATTAAAAAGAATTAAGTACAAAATAATATGGGTTTGTAAAAGGTTTAACCCCAAATGGCACTTGAAGGAATATGTTGGAGAATAATATAAATCATATTTTGAGGCTTTATCCAACAATTTAAGTTTTTAAATTGAGATGATTTTTAAAAAAGTTAGCAACCATGCATGGTTTTTTGGGTTGAGAAGGTTTTTTGACAAGTAGTAACCACGCATGGCAAAAATAATCCAAAATAAACAATTCAAAAGACTTAATAATATCAATGATATATTTTAATAAAATTAATGCCACCACCATAAGATATGACAATGAAAAAAAGTGGTGATGATAGTGGTAATATAATAAAAGTAATGGTAGTGGTAGAAATAGTTGATACATAATAAATAAAAATATACTATTTTGAAGAAAAAATTCTCACTCTTTTTAATTTCTTATTTTCATTCTCACTTCTTTATATAAATGAAACTATAATTAATTTTCATTCTCATTATCACTATTTATTTTCATTTTTACTTTACTTCTTTCAACTAAATATCTATAAAATGGAAATAAGATTCTCATTTCTATTCTCATCATTTTATTCCTTGCTATTAAACAACACCTACGAAAAGCAAAAGCAAACATCCTGGTGAGAATGACCTTATTGAGAAATTTGTAGTTGGGGGACCCATTCAAAAAAGTATATTTAATTTAGAGAGTAATCTTAGGTTTGTCCTTATGATAAATATCATGACAATGGTTGTTGGTACTTGGCAGGAGAAAGGATATGTTGTGTTGGCTGTTGAGTTTCCCTTGGCTGCTGAATTACTTAATTGTGTTTGGGGAAGAAGATATGATTTATAAAAACACCAAATTTATTTTCTAAATAAGTACTTTTTTTCTAATTTTTCTTAAATTTTGGGGGAGCCGACACTACTATAATATAAATGGGTCAAGCCTCTTTAAAACTTTAGTTTATTTGAAAATTAATTTTAGATTTGTCCTTCCCTAAATTTTATTGTTTTTTAGATTGTCCATCCCCAAATATCACTTTCTTATAAATTCAATTTTTAGTATTTCGAGCTGAAGTTTTTCTCTTATATTAGGATTTTTTAAAAAATTTCTAGAATTTTTCAAAATCGAGAAGTATATTGTTTTATTTTATGAACCTTAATAAGGTAGAAAAAATAGAAAACAATATTTTTTTCTTTTTTTCCGAGCTCTAGGTAAATTTTTATTGAATGATTTCTATCATAGAATTATTTATGTGACCATTATCTTTTACAAAAAAAACTAAAATATGACTTAAATCTATATATATAAAAAAAAAAAAAAGTCGAGATCAAACTAGAAATTAAAAATTCAGTAACTAATTTTCAAATAGATTAAAAATTCAAAAGAGTTCTAACTCATTTAAGCTATTTGCCCTATTGGCTACTTCTCCAAATCCTCAATCAGATACAACCTAATCAATATTGCCCCATTGACCCACACAGATACAAGATTTAATCACCTTGCTTAATGATCCAAGGCCCCTAGTCCAAAACGCTTATATCAAATAGAACCAAAAAAAAAAAAAAAAACAACGAATTAAAAAAATTGCCATATCGTGATTTCAAAACACATATATTACTCAGAAAATTCTTAAATTAATTGACACACACACACACACACACACACACACACACACACACACACACACACACACACACATATATATATATATATATATATATATAGCCTTAAAAAACATATATATTACCCATACAATTCCAAAATTAATTGCCAAGTATATATATAGTGCTAAAAAACATGGCCACATTGTCCTTGTATGAAATCAACTAGTTTGATATTACTCATACAATTCCACGTGTCATGATGAGCTCAAATTAAATGATTAAATTAATGATGTAGCAAATTAACATTGACTAGAGCTTGTCCCGTATGCTTACATGGTATATTAAAATTTGAAATAACAACATAAGAGTAAAACTCTTAAATTGGATAGAAAAAAACTTGAGTCTCAATCAAAAAAACTTGAATTGCATGGGGTTTGAATATTTGTAAAACTTATTGATTAATATAAGCTGATAAAATCAAAAACCCATAAACATAGAGGCAAATTAAAGTTCACTTAAAGTTTTTTTCTATACTTTTGTAAGAACATGAAACGACTTAAGACTGGAAGATTATTTAATGGTTGTGTGTGCCCATTTTCCCCTCTCAGTATAATGTTTCTTAAAGAGTAAATTTGCTTGGAAAATGATATCAACATGAAAAAAATCTAATTTTTGTTAAAAAATTTAGGCATATATTTTGGGGTCAGTAGATAAATTTGTTCTTATATGTTGGAGGATATTTTCAATAGGTCCTTTCTCCACCTTTTGGATTAAAATATCCTTTAGCATAATAAACCTTAAAAATTAATAAATAAATAAAAATCTCCCAAATAAAACTTCATTTGAATTTGAATTTCTCACCTCCCAATCAGATCAAAAAAGATAAAATAATAGATATATATAATACAAACAACAGAAAACGAACGTAATCCCTATTTAACTATATGCTTGTTATTTTTTATTTTAATATATTGATCGACTTTCATAATAAATAAATAAATAATAAAACAATATAAAGCTTTGAAGACAACGACTTCAGAGCATTTTCATTGATGTGATATATATGTAGATACATACCGGCACAACATAGCTATTGAGTAACAAAACTAAAATGCAAATCACAAATAATTATCAGCTGATATTTCTCTTTAACAAGATGCAGATCTTCTTGATCTTATTCAAAATAATAATAAGCAAAAAACCTGAAATTGTTCGCAATAATATCTCCAAAAAACATCAAGTAATATGAAATCAGAACATAGAATATGCTTTCAAGAGAGGTTTTCTGTCCAGTGAAGAAGCAGTAAGACTATCTAAACCAGTAGTACTAAGGTCCCAAGGAACCCCCATTACTTCGTTTCTATCATATTCAATGATCTCTTGTGGACCGATGAAGTCTGTTGGTAATTTTTGAGTCCCCGGTGGTTTTTGAGTCTCCTCCAACACCATCGTGACTTCTTTCATTGTTGGCCTTTCTTTCCCATTTAACTTCAAGCAGCTCTTAGCCAACTTAGCTACCATCATTACACTTTCTTTGTTGCTTTGAACCGTAACTTGAGGATCAAGAATTTTGAGCAGACGGTTGTCTTCCATGGACATAAGGAAATATGTCACTAAACTTCTGCCTTCTTCTTCAGACCTTGTAAAAGATATTGCCTTTTCTTCAGTTAGTAGCTCAACAAGGACTACACCAAAGCTATAGACATCACTCTTGTCTGTGAATTGGCTTGATTGGAAGTACTCTGGATCCAAGTACCCAAAGGTGCCTTGTACTTGAGTTGTGACATGAGTTTGGTCAATGGTTACGGACCTTGATGTCCCAAAATCTGCTACTTTGGCTCTGTACTTCTCATCAAGCAGTATATTCGTCGACTTGATGTCTCTATGGTAAATGGGGGTGGAAGCTGCTGAGTGTAGATAGAAAAGTGCCTCTCCTACCTCTGTCGCTATCCTTAACCGCATTTCCCAAGTTAAAAGGAATTCCTCGTTTGGGTCGTGAAGAAATTGGAAAAGGGTCCCGTTAGGAATGAATTCATAGACCAACAAGGGAACTTCAGTCTCCAAGCAACAGCCTAAAAGTTTAACAACATTTCTATGGTTAATTTGGGATAGAAGAACAACCTCGTTGATAAATTGTCTAAGTTGGCTTTCATCAACTAGTTTGGATTTCTTGACAGCAACGATTTTTCCATCTGCCAACATTCCTTTGTAAACTGTACCTTGGCCTCCCTGACCGAGTATTCTGTCGACGTTGTAACGATCGGTGGCCTTTTCTAATTCTTTTGAAGGAAACATTTTGATTTTCTCAACATTGACTTCACCTGAAGATAGTTGTTCTTGGAGCAATAAACCACCATTCTGTTTAAAGTATTTCTTCTTGAGTTTTTCTTTTCTTTTTCTCTTGAATATTTTGTACGACCACCATGTACCAGTCAGGAGAACCAATATCCCGAGTCCTATGCCAAGACCTGCATAACTCAACAAATTAATACTTTCATTGCTTCATATTTTCATAAATTCAATCACTCTACTCATCTTAATGACTCTTGCTCTACGAATTTTGAATAGTCTTGTAAGTGAAAAAAATAAATTCGTTTCATGTTATAGGATGCAAATCCACTTACCGAAAACCGCCATTTTAGCCTGAGATTTCTCGTCTTCATGTATCACACACTGGTAGGAACCAATGGTGTTTTCGCATTTGAAGGCCCTGCTATAGCAAGCGTCGGCACCGTATATCTCGCATTCATTGATATCTGAATATATATAGAAAATAGAATTCAATACTTTGCAGAAAAAAAATATAAATAAAATATATTAGCAGAAAAAAATGGAAAAAAAAAAAAAAACCCAAAAAGTGCCTAGCGTGGCGAAAGATTACCGTAGCAACCGTCAGAAACGTAGGGGCTGCCTTGAAAGCCATCGCGGCAGAAACATTGAACGACTGTCTGGTTTGTGTCATCTGATAACGCTAAATTGGTAAAATTACAAGAAGACAAATTATATCTCGAATCATTATTCACAGGAAGTCGAGAATATAATCTTAAATCAATTGACCAATTTAGCACCACAGGAACATCGTTCCTATCCCTCACAGAGTAGGGCTTTTCAAGACTATTGTTATGGAACCTATCATCAAACCAATTTCGGTCGACTAAATAGGCATACTTGCATAGGTCGTCGCTTATGCCCCCAACAGACTATGACGGAAAAAATTCAAAGGTTGTTCGGAAAACCTTAAGATTTGAAGGGATTGTGGTCTGGCAGCAGTTGATGCCACTGCAACTAGTAGATTTAATTGTAGAGGCAACCATTCCGTCTTCCTCACAAATTGACATGCATCCACCAAAACAACTTGATTCATTGTTGGCCAGCAGCGCTAAGTTATTACAACCCCCTCCAATGAACCAATTGTCAGTTTCAGAAAAAACAAAAGGACTCCCTTTCAAGTCGACAACGAATACATCGTAGGAATTACTGCTGCTGAGAGTCTTCTCGCAATCTTTGAAGACGATTGGTAAATTGACGTGAATGGTAGTATTTTTGGCTACTCCAACTGAAATTTCTGTCACCACCAGATTGGTGCCATTTATGTGAATTGTGGGCGTGCTAGAGTTGCAATCTATTTTGTAACTCTCTTCTAAGTAGCAACTGGAATTCATTCCAAATGGATATGGAATCCTGACTCCCCCACACTGATCATCACAACCAGCCTTTGCTATAGATTGTGCTTCTACTATAACAAATGGAAAATTAAATAACAACAGCAACAGCATCATGACTTGCAACATTAGCTGCACCTGCTCAGCCATTCTTCTGTTATTCCTGTTTCCTTTCTTTTCCTTTTCTTTCCTTTACTGTTAGCTGTTTGAGCAACGAGGGGTACATATAGTGGCAAAAAGATTAGAAAATATTTCTCTCTGCCTACCCTTTTTTTTTTTTTTCTTGTTTCTTTTTTGTCCCTTCTTTTGCTTTGAAAATTTCCTAAGACAATTGGAAGTTGACTTGGACAATGTCTTCTTGTACTTGCTTGTATTTTATTTTATTTCTTCTCCTCATCCTCATTTTAGCAACTTGATGTTAAAGAATAATATAATTAAAATTATTTTTGAAATTTTGTATAATAATTTAAATTTTTGAATTGAACTGATTTCTCAAAAAAATAAAAAAAATCCTCTATAGTATATAAATGAAGTTACAGAAGTGACGAATTAAAGAAGAAGATTAGGAATGTAGAGAAATCCCATAACTGTTAATGGTCGAACACATTGACATAAAAACTATTACAATAAATAAAAAAGAAAGAATTACACGATATTTATATTTTATATAATTTGGTTATGTTTACATACACAAACAAGAAGAAGAATGTTTCATTATAATCTAAACAATATAGTTTTAGAGATTTCTCGGAAGAAAGAAAAAAACGCATTTGTCTCCTAAACCCACAAGGTTTTGATTATGTTTATTGAATTAGATAGCTGAAATTTAAGACATCCCACTACAAAGATTTAAGATTTTATATTACTTTCTAGTTGTGAGATTCGAACTCACGATCGTTTAGTCATCAAGATTCTAATACCATATTAAAAAATTATTTCAAATCAAAAGCTTAAGTTATCGAGTGAAATTCTATGAATAGTTTTATATTAAACTCTTACGTGGAAGGTACATTCAATATCTATTTGTATTTATTCCATATGGCATATGTTTACTAACACATATATTTGTATTTATTCATGTAGCATATGTTTACTAATATTTTCTTTCACTTAAGATCCATATTTTTGTATTTATTTCATGTGGGATATATTCATTACTCTTCACTTACAGATCTGTCTTTTATATTCACTAACATTTATGTTTGCTAAGACGAGTAAGACTCACTCTCACTTATAATCAATCTTTTTGTGATAGATATCCCGATGACATGTTGAGTTAAATAATTAAGATTAGATTTTATTCAAAAAACTTAAGTTCTTGTGGTGGGTGGTCCATTTAATATTTTTCATATTAGTTTATATTTTTATATTTATTCCGGGTAAAATATATTTAGTAACATTCGTTCTCACTTACGATACTATGTCATAACCAAAATTTCGGACTTGTTTTATTTTTAATTGGTTATTTGTTTTCTTTTATTTCATTTTAAGTTTTTTTATTTTCTTATCTTAATCGGTGTTATTATTTTTATTTATTTCACCTTACTTAATAATTTGCAAAAAGAAAAAAAAACAAAAATAATGTGAATTTAATATTCATGGATGCAATTGTATTAAATTCAAAATAATTATAGTCATTGGGGATACAATTGAATCATTCAAAGTTCAAGGATCATATTACATTACATAGGGACCAAGTTGACCTAATAATAATTTACAAAGATCAAAATGCAAAAATTACAAAAAAATCAAAAGAAGAAAAAATTACAAAGTTTGCGAGAGGAATGGGCGGCCGGTCGCCCACTCTTGCCCGAACTAGTTTCTAGGCTCTTGGTCATCCTACTTCCACTCGGAATCGGCTTTCGTTTTTTAGTTTGGTTCCCGGTTTCGGCTCTCAATTTTCAACGGCAATTAATTCCCTCAACTTGCAGTTGCCAATCTCCCCTCCATGGTCAACAATCTCGACACCCCTCTCTGCACCGCCGGCCACCCTACTGCTGCAAGTTCCAACGACTCCATCATCACCCAATCCTCTCCTGCCGACCACTCGCACGACTCACAATCTCTAGCCTCACCAAGCTAATCCCCAGCAGTCTCACCATTGCCACGACCCACAATCATAGTCCCATCCAACCTCTCCCACTTGACACCCATATCCTGTAGAAAATCCCCCACCATCATAGTGAGGGAACCAACCAAACATTCGCAGACATATATATATGCACAAGTCACAACACAAAGAGGGAGGGGGATTCGATCCGAAAATTAGAGAAGATTAGGCGAGTTTGAAAATTCAAGAAAAATAATTAAAAAAAGAGAGAGAATAAATCTAAAAAAAAAAAAAAAGAGAGAGATAGAAATTCTACCTAAATTGAAGCTGCAAATCCACCACCTTCACCAATTTTTTTGGGGTAATTTCTTTTAGTTTCCCCTTTAATTTTGTTTTTTTGACGTAATATATGGTGTGTTTGAAATTTTAGGTTTCTTTGTTTTGAGTTGGAATTGAAGTTGAAAAACATGAATTAAACTTAATTTAAGTCAATTGGAGTTTCAATTTGGGGTTTAAACCCCAAAACCGAAACCGATTTGATTTCAATTAAAACTTAGGGTTCCTAATTTAAAAAAAAAATTGATTTAGGGTTTTTTCAAAAAATTGAGTTCTAAAGGGTTTGAATTGACTTGATTTCAAGAGAAATCAAGTTAATTAGACTAATTGAAAGGGAATTTTGAAAGATTGAAAAGTTAGGGTTCGAGCACCAAATTGGGGAAAATTTTGTAAAATTGATTTAGGGGTTTTTGATTCGAGAAAGAAGGGAAAGGAGGGAAGAGGAAAGAAGGAAAGAAAAAGGAGAGGTATGGATGAACCCGTTCTAGTTCGTCCATGGCGGATTCGGGATGAAGAAGAAGAAGAAAGAAAGGGAAAAGAAAAAAGATAGGGGTGCGGGAAAGGAGGAAGAGAAGAAAGGGAAGAAAACGAAAGAAAAAAAGAAGAGAAATAGGGACGAACCACCACTCGCTTCATCCATGTCGGTTGGGTAGAGAGAAGGAAAGAAGAAGAAGAAAGAGAAACTGGAAAAAGAGAGGAGGAAAGGAAAATTGATTAAAAAAAAAGGCTTTTAATCTAAGTTATTTTGAAATGGGGATTGGGTTTTGGTTCTTGGGTTTTTGTTTTTAAGAGGTGTGGGTTGGGCTTGGCCCAACCCACGGTTAATATGCTAGACTAAAATTCCGAGTCCAGTCCGAAAATAAAAATAAAAAAAGAAGAAAATTTTGAGATCGGATTTGGATGAACAAAAAAAAAAAAACGAGAGAGAGAGAAAGAAAACTAAAAAAAAGAAAACAATATGTGTTTTTTTATTTATGCATGTTTGTAATTAATTAATTTAAGTATTGAATTTTTTTAATTATCTTAGTTAATGTAATTTTAAGTTTAAGTTTATTTATGCATGTTAGTTAGTTTATACTAATTTAGAATTTTTTATTTTAATATTTTGTAATTGTTTTAATTTACACTTGAATTTATTTTACGCATGCTCGTTATTAATTTAAACTTCGGTATTTGAACTTTTTTCTTTTATTTAATTCATGTAGCTTTAATTTATTTGTTTAGTAATTAGGCTCGGTAAGTAATAGGTAGAAGATTGTCAAATCTCCTAATTTTTTAGGGACTAATGACAATCTTTCACTAAATAAATAAATAAATAAATAAATAAAAATTATAAAACTTTTAACAAAATCTCTTATCCGATAAGGATCTGTTGTTAGCAAAAAAAAATTCATTTTAATAAACAAGTGTTCTCTAATACACCTGTTGTGTCGAGACTCAAAAAGTGGATCCGATGTTTGAACCAACGTGTCTTCCAACGAAGGGGTCCTACGATCGTTTCAATACGATGTCACGCTCAAAAATAAAAAACTTAATTTGACTTGAAAAATTAGAGTCTCAAAAATCAAAAAATACTTTGGCAAAAATAAAATACCTTGGGAAATAATTTAGGACTAAGCTAGACGTAGTATCTTTCTTAGGAAAGAGCGCTTTTGAGTGATTAATTATCTTTCTATAAGCGTAACAAACTCTTTATCATAGAATCTACGAACCGGTGTCCATCTTAGGTTCCTAGTTCCTTCACTACTAGGTGGCGACTCTAAACTCCGTAAATAATTTTGTAAATAAAAATAAATCTTAAAATAAAGAGATTAAAAGATTTTTGTTTTGGGAGTCCCATCAAAAGTCGGGTAGCGATAGTCTATATTTTTGTATTTATTTTTTATGGAATATGTTCACTAACATTGCTTAATATGAAGCATTTTATAAAAAAAAATTGGAAGACAATTGGGAAATTGACATGAATGGTGTCTTCTTCTCCATCAATTGATACTTTTGTCTACTTTGAGATTGGTGCCATTTATGTGAGTTGTGGGAGTGTTAGATTTGCAATCTATTTTGTAACTCTTTTGTAAGTAGCAATTGGAATTCATTCCAAATGGAAATGGAAAATCTTGACCTCCCCACACTGATCATCACAACCAGCCTTTGCTATAGCTTGTGCTTCTACTATAAAAATGGAAAACAATTAAATAACGACAGCAACAGCATCATGACTTGAAATATGAGCTGCACATCCATTCTTTGGTTAGTCATCTTTCCTTTCTTTTCGTTTCCTTTACTGCTAGCTAGCTGGTTGAGCAAAGAAAGGTGTAGGCAACGAAAGGTGTATATCTACTGGGAAAGATTAGAAAATATTTCTCTAGGGACAAGCTTGTGGGTTCTCTCTTCTATTCATGCAATATACCGAGAATAAAAACACATCAAAGAACTTGTAGCACGAGTGACGGTGATCTCTTACAAGAGGTTATGGATTCAAATCTTAACAGATTAGTTCTATTAAAAAATTTAGATGTGTATATATATATATATATATACACCAAGAATAAAAACAAGTTATTGCTTGTACGATTTGATTTAATAAGTATATACTAATTAAATACAGAACAAATATATATATATATCATCCATCTAAATTTTAAACAATATTAAAAATTAGAAAATACAGAATCTCATTAATTAACCTACCACCTGAATTATGATATGCACAAAATCCATTCCTTACTTCACATGTAGTTGCGGTGTCACTTAATAGAGAGTAAATTATAAATTAGTCTTTTTAATTTTGAGAAACAAATTAATTAATTTTTATGTTTTAAAACCTAATTGTTTAGTTTTTTTAATTTATTTTATACTTTTTTAAATTTATTTAATTTAAAAATAGAAAAATAAAAAATAAATAGATATTATGAAAAAAATGATGAGAAAATAAGATTTTTTTAGAATAAAATAATATTAAAGTAAGTACAATCAACACTAATCAAAGAACTAAATATTTAACTTTGAGAACAAAAAGGATATATAATTAATTCATTTCTCAAAACTAGAAAGACTAATTTAAAATTCACTCCACTTCAATCATTAGATGATTTTTGAAATAAACTTAAGAGATTAAATACTAATTGATCAAGTTAAATTAAAGGAGAAAATAAAAATTTCGTTGACACTTAAAAACTCCACCAGCAGCCAGTATGACCTGTTATTTAATTTCCTTTTTATATATAATGACAACGGATATTTTTAAACTAAATATTTATATATTAATTAACCGATATTGTATTTTTTTTATTTATATGTCTGGAAAATTTGCAAAGACCATTGGAAGTTGACTTTGATATGCCGTCTACTTGATAAGGAAAGGATGCTGATCAATAATCTCTTGCCTATTTTGTCTCCTTACTCTTGGCAATCTTTGCTGATAAGGAAAGGATGCTTGTCAATTATCTCTTGCCTATTTTGTCTCCTTAATCTTAGCAATCTTTGCTAAGATCTTGGCTGATTTTATGTTGTACTATCATAGCCTAATCATGCCTGCATATAACTTAGTATTCGTTGATGTAAGTAAAGAAGAGGAAATACCAGATTCTTCACTACTTGCTTCTTCTTCTTTTTAACCTCATGAGTTAAAGTTGTAAAGCGTAATACATGAAAAATTAGAAGTTCAAAATGTTAATTACCGCATTCAAATCATGGGGTATTAACCTAATTTACCCTTAATAGAAATTAAAAAGAAAAGTTGAATGGAGTTGGTAATTGTAGAATGAAGTAGGTGTTTTTTTGTCTAGGGTTCATTTGTGAGTTTCCAAGTAATGATTTTAAAAGTTGCACTGTTATGGACTACGTAGAAACATCTTCTGCAGCTCTGGTATTTGTTTATCTCCAAGATGGGGAGCAAATTGGAATACTGTTGCTAAGTATCATGTTGGAGATGGTTTCTTGGGTATGGATTAGATTTTGAGCTGTTGTTGATGGTTGCAAAGTAGCTTCTTTGGCAGGGGTTTTGGCTTGCAGTAGCTGTTTAGGAGCATTTCACGATAAAGAAGAATTCTTATGGAATCCTTAGGGAGAATCTTTCTACTCTCTTTTTTTTTTTCCTTTTTTTTTTTGTCTTTTTTTGTCTATTTTTTTTAAAAAAAAACTTTATCTCTCAACATGTTTATTTCTGTCTTAATCTTGTCCTTTCGTTAACTTTTGGACTAATAATAGTGCTAACTTTTTTCTGTTTTTCATCATACCTCTACTCTATTTTTTTTTTCATTTTAATTTAATTTTATTTTATTTTTGCCAAATTTAAATGAATGAATTTTTTTTAAAAAAAAAAGGAAAAAAATTGAAGAAATATCCAGTCATTTTCTCTAAAAAAATAAAATTAAAAAAAAAGTAAAGATAGAAATACTTTTTTATCTAAAATATTATTTATGTGCTTAAATGTATCTCTGTGATAACAAACAAATTTTGAATTTAAAATAAAATATTTATAGTATTTTTTTTAAATGTGTCCCTATGATAGTAACCAAATTTAGAGCATAGAATGAAAATTTTTTAATATTTTTAATATATACAAAGAGAGTTTTAGTTAAACTTTTAAAACTAAGAAACTTGTAAAGTTAAAATAAGAAATTATATTAGACTGTTTTGAGGTATTATAAAATTATAAATACCATTTAAAAGTTTAAATTTTAACTAGAACTTTCTTCACATTTAAAAAAAAATTATAAATATTTCATTTCATATTTAAAACTTGTTTTATAATCATAGAGATAAATTTAAACCAATAAAGCATATTTGGATAAAAAATATATTTTTATCTTTTTTTTCAATTTTTAGAGAGAATGATAGAATATATATCTTCACTTTTTTCAGTTTTTTTTTAAAACAAGATTAAAACAGAAAAGAAAAAAAATCAATGTGGTTAGTCTAAAAGTTAACAGAAAAATAAGACTAAGACAAAAATCAAACCTAGAGGGATAAACTTAACACGAAAAAGCATAAAAAGACGAAAAAAAAGGTTGAGAGACTTCTACAATATTAAGTAGTGAGATTTACTTGGATGTGGCATGCAGTTGTATGATCGATTTTGTCTTTCTACTCTATTTTTCTTGCTTTAGTGGTTCCCTAACATGCAACCATTAGCCCTATGTATTTCCATGCTATATGTTCTCTAGGCTTGTTTTCTTTACTTTGGATTTTCCTTTTTGGTAAATTTTAGTTCGTCCCGTTCAAGTTTGAGGGATTTTCAATTTCTCTTCTGAGAGTAGCTATATCCGGAGTTATTAGCCAATCTAGGAGTTTCAGGAAGGAATGACTTAATTGCTTGGCTGTGACTTTGGGATACTGTCTGGCAGTGATCTTATTATTGCCAACTATTTTGAACTCTATTTCTCAATGTGTTTTGGTCTCTTGTTTTGATGCTGTCTGCTCCGTTTATCTCCCTTTCGGTGAGTAAAGACTCATTGCTCGGATGTCCTTTTGTAAGGGAATAAGATTCTCTCAATGCTATATCCTGTCTTGTGAAGAAGGAGGCAAGGCCATGGAGAAGGAATGGCGTCACTGCTTGGATTTGATGTTGGGATTTTGCAAGGATTTATCATTTAATGGCTCACATGCCTATCGTTGTTCTAATCTCAGCATTGAGGAAATTTTTTTCTCTTATTGCATTAGACCAACATGAAAGGTGTGTCCCTAAAATCCTATAGAGAGAAGATTTAGTCTCGATTGACAATCAGATTAAGGGAAGTATTTTTTTGTATGTCTAACCGAGGAAAAAATTTCCTTAGCTCTTAGCCTCCAAGCTCCATGTTTCATGCGCTGGAATCTCTTCTATATTGATGGTGTTTTTGGAAGAAAGGCCCTGACTGCTTTTGAATTGAGATTTTGGATCACACATTTCAAGGGTAAGATGTTAGCTACAAACACCAAAAATATAATGAGCAGAGGAAAAATATGCAGATTTCTGTGTGGGAAAACCTGCTGAAACTATCCAGCAACTGAACCCCAAACTAATCCTTCAGTTAGTCCACTTATCAAAGGAATGTGTAGTTAATTTCCTTAAGAATTTAGTACTCGACTTTCTTCTACATATGGTGACAGACAAGGATCCCATTAATCAAGGAAGCCTGCAATTTTCGTTTACATCTTGCTTTAATCTTCGTGACGACCGGCACTTCCCATGTAGATTCATCAAAATCAAAGGGGAAAATGTTATTTTCAAAGAACTCATCACACTACAAGCAGCTAATACTATTTTACAAAAAATTCACACAAGATAGTTTCTACTGCAGAAATTGATCCCATAATTGCTTGTTTCACAGGAGCATTTACACAAGATAGTTTTTACTTCAGCAACACGCGATTGCGATACTCTCCGAGGGCCCAAATGGGGAAGATGTTTCTATAGGCAGAGTAACTAATCATACAGTTCTTGTTGAAGACTCCCATGATTTCCTACAAAAGATACAGTCAGGATCAGTTCATTAAAAATAAGGCTACAATGGGATACCAAAAACTAGAAGATAATTTACTTCTTGTGGGAACTCTCCAGTTTCCATTGCTGAATTAATCAACAACTTAGCTGCACGATGCAATGGGGTCGGATCTCTTTCGGCCTAGTAAAGCACAAGGTAACAACAATGTTAGCAGTGATTTGATCATGATATTTCCTTCAATATGGTTTTCTGATTAATGCTTAAATCGTGTAGTTCACCTGTCCAGCTTCAATAAGAGCCAGCATTGCCCATCCAGTGTTTACAAGATGTGATTTACCACCTTCTAAATTTGTGTACACCTATTCATAGAAGGGAAATTATCGCACAAACACAACAAGCCATGAGATCATCATGATTTAAGATCTAAAGAGAGTAAATGCAGTCAGTGAATTATAGCTCAAGTACTGGCATTAGTGTCTCCCCTCTCTCTAAGAGATCTCAAGTTCGGACGTCTCCTATGTAACCAAACAAAGAAAAAACAGAGAATGCATGGATGCACCATGACGTTACCTTATCTTGGCATGAAATATAGCTCTCACCCCAACCACCTGAAACAAGTTGTTTGGATAGCAAGAACTCGCAGGCTTTTCGAATAGTATAGCTGTTCTGATAGGTCCTTCCACCGGCTACAAGCCCCTTTATTCCGAACCATGTTCCATATGTGAAGCAGACTCCCCAAGACCCATACCTAAATAAAGCAGACTACTTTAGATCCAAGCTTCTATTTTGTTCTACGTTTTTACAACTTCTTCAGATCCAAGCCTCAGCCTGAAAACAAGTTCTACTTGGGAATTTTCAGAAGAAAACATACCAAGAACCATCAGGTTGTTGTTTGCTCTCAATGAAGTCAATTGCCTTCCCTATGCACGCTTCTATTTCTTTCTTTCGATGTCCTGGATGAAATTTCTTGAAGGAATTGAGGCCTTGAATTACTGCGGAAGTGCATTCCACATATCTAAAAACATGTGCCAAGAACCAAAGAAAGTTGAAAAATCCACAAAGTTGTAATCACAGGACTAGTACATTGTAACACAGAAAATCTATATAAGAACAATGAGAATCTATTATCTTACTGGTAATCAATCATGATGTCTCCAAATATTTCAGCAGGATTGAGAATCTGCAATTTAAGCAAAGTGTGCTAAGACTTGAATAGAATATTCTCTTGGTTCATTGCGACGAAAGGGAAGAGAGAAGATTAATGCCTTACCTCCAACCATGCATATGATCTTGTCAGCTCATACGATGCAAAACCTCCATTCTTATTCTGAAATGTGAAGGTGCATCGATAAGGTTTACAACATCAAGCATATGCAAATTCAATTACTTAACAACATAAGAGTACTGTTCTAATCCAGACAATATCCCTGATGTGTCAAAAAACTCAGAGACAGAGCCCAGTTGCATCAGCATTAACACAACTTGTATCCCGTGTTTGGTAATACGAGGCAGATGTTTTTATAGAAAATGTGTTTAGGCTGAAAAACATCAATTTGATGTTTTTTCGAGCACTTATAAAAACTATCCAAAACCACTCAGTTCAAACGCACCTGCAGAGACAAAATCGCATTAACAGCATCATGCAGCCGATCTACCGGTATCGCTTCTCCCACCGTATCCGATGGCAATCGAGATAATAAGATTGCTGCCTGCAAACGTAAGTAATATTATCCAATTTGCACATAACTAGCATCCTACATAAAGATCACATGATGCTGACAAAATATTAATTACCTTTAAGCCTTCTGCAGTACAATCTGATACAGGCCAACCATTGTCCGGGGTGGAGAAAGGCCATGCTCCCTCAGAAATGTGCCGATACCAATCGTTAAAATCATCAGAGCTGTTGGTTCTCACCTTTACATTAAATCGAAGAAAGCAAAAATTATAGGATAAGCTATAATCTTGATTTGCTTCATTTACATATTGACACAAGAAGTTCAGATTAATGGTACTACCTGTGTATTTTTGATAAAATTGTGTGCTTTCTTAAGCATTGGAGCAAATTCATCACCAAGATTGGTAGCAAGGATTGCTTGAACAGCAAATGAAACATCCCATAATTGAGAACCATTATACCCCTATTAACAAAATTTCACACCCATGTTATCATTTATAACATGATAAAATTATCATTAAGAAATCAAACCTCGGACGACATAATTCGGTGAATATAGCAGAAAAGGTGTCAATCAAAAATTCAAAAGATCCTAATACACAAGCAGGTTTAGCTTCCCATGAATAAATAAATAAATAAATAAATAAATAAAAACAGAAAATATTAATTCAGGAGATTTCAATCAAAGCGGTCTATAGTTCAGAGGGTGTTTGTACGGTTAAGCAGCATTCTGCATCAGGTACCTGCATTTTCATGCCATCCTCAGCTACCCACAAATAATCTTTGATCCTGGCAAGGTGACACTTATATGCTTCTGAATTTGGATCCTCCACCCAACAGCAAAGCATGTTTAATACCTGCTTCCGATATTGAAGAAAAGTTGTGAGAATAGTCTCAACTTTCGAAAATTTTTCAAACATCAGCATCACAAATCATGTTTTCATGTCTGAAATGATTTTATACCGAAACTAGAATGAGAAGAAATTACAACTATTGACTATGAAAAAAATGTAGCAACTTTAGCAGCATACCTTGCTTACTGGTCCAAGGCAGACATATTGAGTGCTCTCATCCTCATAATGAATACTTTGCATTACAGTGTCTAGAGCCCTTTGTCTAAGCTTATAGAGTGGCCATCTTGTAAGGAGAGGCTCCCCGGCTTTATGAAGGCAACCCCATAGAATATCTTGCAATAGGGGATGAGGGTAGTACAAGTCTTCCTACAAGACAATGCATGCTTTGATATTAGTAATATGAAAAACAATTAATGCAAAATCGATTTTTTGATGATTCAAAGATTATACCTTGGCACAGAGATTCCTGCTATGGTCCCAATCAATCTGGTGATAGGGAAGAGTATAAAGCTCTCTTCTGAGTGATAAAACAAGGGAGTTAATCGAGCCCACGAACTTCTTTCCATATAAATATGACATTGGCAGATACACCATCCGACTGTGACACCACAATCTTCCTGCAATTTCATCTCAACATCTTAATAACATTGACAATCGAGTACACGACCGTTAGACTATGTCTGTTTGTATATTAATTAATTGTTAACTTTAATTGGTCACTAAATTGAGTTTTAATGGTAAGGGTGTCTTGGGATCAGTTTTCAAGCATTGAGACTAGTACCTTCTTGATCGGATCTTGAGCAAGCCATTCACAAATTAATTTTTTTATTTTAAGGTGTTGAGAGGGTCAAATTTAATATAACATTTTGATTTTAAGGTGGCCATTACATTAGGACTTATTTGAAACATTTCAAAGCGTAAGGGGGATTTTGAATTTTTTGTAAAATTTAAGGGAGCACAAGGGGATTCAAACCCTCAATCATCATGACATAGTAAGCCTCCAAAAACTAAATATATACAATGCATAAAAAGGGCACCTGGGTGTGCTGGGACAAAGTAAGGAAGAAGCCATAGCTCGGGCAATAAGGGATTATTCCCACTCCATTCATATACTCCAAGCACCTATAATTTTATTTAGGCATATAATTAACACACAGAGACGACAAAGTGCATGATAGGTATAGTTTGCTGCTAATCAACGAAGAAGACGAATTAGTATATAGGAATTCTTACTGAAAGCCACATCTTTCCCCATGATGGAATGAAAGTGGCTCCACCATGGTCAAGAATCCATTTTCTAGCTTTCTCCATGGCACCATCCCCACCTTCCATTTCTTCCCAAAGTAATCGCAGGGTGACATAAGAGAGAACTGTGCAAAACATTGTGCTTGAACTCTCTATATGCAATCCCCACCCTCCATCCACATTCTGTCCTCATTGTTAACAAAAATAAAATACTAGTACTGTTAAGCATTTTCACTCCTTCAATTATGGCAACATTTTCACCCCTTTAAGCAAGCAAAGATCACATGTTTGGGGAGTAAATTATAAATTAGTCTCTCTAGTTTTACTTTTTGGCTTAATATTATAAAAAATCACAAACTATACACGTTTTAATGATTTTAGCTCTTTCTTTAAAAATTATATAGAAAAGTCACCAACTAAGCCTCGATAATCATATTAACACCAATCGATTTTCGGACTAAAATTCCGAGCAACGCCGACATGACATGTGACGAAGCATGACACATGGACTTTAGCAAATCATATAGGATCCATATACGTATGGCACGTGAACTTTAGCAAACCACCTAAGATCTATGTAATTAATTTTTCATGTTACTACTTATGTAGATCCTACGTGACTTGCTAAAGTCCACATGTCATGCTTCATCACCTGTTATGTCGGCATTGTCCATGATTTTGGTCAAAAAATCGGATCGGTGCTAATGTTATTATCATAGGCTTAGTTGATGACCTTTCTATACAATTTTTAAAGAACGAGTTAAAATCATTAAAAAATATATAGTTCGTGATTTTTTAGAATATCAAGCCTTAGTTTTTTTTGTTTCAAAAACTAATTATTTAATTATTTTGTTCATTTATATTCTTTTCTAATTTTTTTAAATATTATTATGGATAGACTATGAGAAAAAAAGATATTATTTTTAAATTAAATAATGTTAAATTAAGCATGATCAATAGTGATTAAAGGGATTAAAAAATTAATCCTCTAAATCCAACAAAGAAAGAAAAAGTTCATGTTGCTTTAAGAAATAAAACAACTTTAGGAATCAAATTCATTGTTTATTAAATTATCAATTCTTGATAAGAAGTGAATTCTAAATCAAATTGCTAAAGCAATATAAAAGAAAAAAATAAATGATACTTTAAGTACCATAATAATAAGAACAGAAATACCTGGTGGTTATAGATATAGCGACGCATCTCGTGTCGATGCTGATGGTGCAAAATCGTATTCAAGGCACCCGTCACAAATAAACAAATCACCTACAAATACACGACATTATTTATTTTTAGCAGCATGTGGACATACACCGACGGCTATAGCGATCTGATTTTCAAATAGGTATAAAATATTAGCTAGTAGCTTTCAGGACCACTGAATTTCAATAAAAATTGAAAAAAAATTAATAATTCTTATTCTTACCACTATTATTTAATATGCTGGTCGATTTCAGGACCACTGAATTTAAATAGAATTAAAAATCTAATAATTTTGATTGTTATTGATCGACATTGTACCGATATTAAATATCGACATCATAGTATTTTTGAATAAATAAAGTAAATTATTCGGTTTTGTTATTGTACTTGACAATAACGTCTCTCATCAATCAATTTTTGTTTGATATGTTCATTAATTAACATCTCTATCAAAAAATAAAAATTGTTTTTAAGTGATTATGTCATGATAGATGCAAGGTACGAATTTAACATTTAATATGCTAATTTTGTCAGTCTATTTGTCTAATTTTTAATTCCAGGAAAGTGACCTTCCCAACTAACTTAGTATTAATGTAACATATATACAAAAAATAAGAGTTGAGAAATTTATATAAAAGTGCAATCCACGAGATTTCTCGAGCAGAATAACTAATTAAAGACTAGAGAAAATAAAATGGCTGCATGTATCTAACCTAATCTCAATTTTTTTTTTTAATTATTGACACTTATTAAGTAGACCATTTCTACAAATTATAGAGTGATGCTAGCTAGTATACATTGATATAAAAACAAGATGATAAAAAATGGAATATACACAAGCGATTAGTAAAACTTACTATTAGATTCCACATTAAAATTACTATTTTTTTATATATAATTAGTAAAATATTTTCATATCAATTTTTATATCAGTTAAAATTAAGTTTGTCGTTTTAAACCTGAATTCCATATTCAATACGACACGAAGGAGGAGTAAGAGTTTTTCAAATATTAGAAAATACTTAACCTAGTGAATTAGGATTGCATTTCTTACTACTCTACTTATAACTTTTGGATGGTATTTTCTTTTTTATTATTATTCAATAGTATAAAAATAATCAAGAATCAAGCACGGTAAGACCCAAAAGGAAGGGATAAAAAAGTTGAGCTTAAAAAATCATATCACTTTATTATTAATTGTGTCGCGAGTAGTAAGTTGAGAAATTTTATAATACACTAGGAGTAATTAGTAGCATGTACGATAGTTATTCCATGGGTTCACTAAGAAGAGAGAGATAGACACATAAAAAAGATAAAAATTACATTTATACCCATCAAAAGTGATAAGAAGATTTCTACGTCCGTTCAAATTTTTTTATTTTCTCTCTCCTGTTTTTTTCTTTTTTTTTATATGTCTATCTTTCTCCTCAAAGTGAACTCATGAAGTAACTACTGTACGTATCACTAGTTATTTTTGATGTATTATAAAATTTCTCGTAGTAAGCTAGCTTTCCTTGTGGAAAGCATCACTCTTCTTCTTTTTTATTTATTTATTTATTTATAGTAATAATCATAAAACTTTTGTTTGATAAGGATGCACCCATATTAATTCATATAGTATCACAAGAGCAAATTATAGACATCTTTACACTATATGCATATTAATTTTGAATTTTATTTTAATTGAATATATAGATTTTTTTAGTACATTAATATTTTCAAAACCGTCAATTAAATACTTTCGTCCAACTGTTATTATTTGTCCTAAAATACTAAATTATGTAATAAGAAAGTACTGTCGCAAATGTGATTTAGTTTTGAGATGATATTAGCAATGTTAAATCTTTGTTTATACATATATATATCAGCAAATGTTCAAGAACCTACCAAGCCTGGTAGAAGAAACAAAGGGCCACCATAATCACCAGGCCAGAATCCATCCTCCGACTGCAGAGTTGAATAAAATTGCAAGGCTCTTCTCAATGTGGTATCCACCACTTCCGTAGTGATTTCTTCTTCGCTTTCTACTTTCACCATAGACAGCTCCATCTTCTCACATGGATTTTCCCTTGCAAACTTTTACGTACAAAACATAATGTATATATTATTAAAACAAGCTGGAAACAAGGGGATAGAGCATCTAAAAAATGCAAAATTCACTCAATCACCTGAAATCTCATTAGAAGATCAGAACTGTGTTTGATTCGAAACCGGTTTTTCGTAAACTCATTTCGATAATTTTCCACTTCAGCTATCTCTTCTGAAGTTCCAAGATAAGGATCAAACTCCCAAAATTGTCTACCAACATGATTATTCACACTTTTAAGCCATGGATCATTGCCTTCCGAAACCTTGAGTTTCCACATTGTTTTTCTACCTCAGAACTCCTCCAAACCACCTACATGAACATTGATAGAGAACCTTTAATAAATATTTCTAATATATAATATGATAAATGAGACTTAAAAAAAAAAAAACCCAAAATTGCGGTCGAACAAACTGAAAGTTGTAAAGAACGAAAATTAAACGTGTATCGCCATGAATGCATGGCTACATGAACTGCAAATCATGGCGACGATATTGTGCCAATAATTGTACGTACCTGCTTTGGATTCTCACTGGTGATAAAAAAGTAAAAAACTATGAAGAGAATAGGACTGTGGCTTTAGCCGGCAGGAGGAAAGAAAATTGCAAGAGCAATATAAGGTAGCATGATCATCTAGCTCTTAAATAAACATTCAAATAACAGCAGATTACAAAAATGTCCCTACAATTATTCAGAAAATATTTTATTTTTCAGTCTTTTTCACATGGAGAATATATATACTCTTATAATATATGCTACAATTTTTTATGATTCAGTAATAAAAAACCTAAACGAGTTGCATGCTGGGGATCGTAAACAAGTGTCTGTCTGTTTTACAAGAAACCTAAGCTGATTCTATAAAAAGAGGGAAAAAAAAGCTTTTAAAAAAATATTACTTTTACTTGATTTTGGTCTTAAAACAAGATTTAAGGTTTATTTTGCTTTAAAAGCAAAATATATGATGTTTTAAAAAAAATTATTTTTTAATTAAAGTAAAATAAATTTATTTTTAATTACGGTTTAGTAATAAAAATAAAAATGGTAGAATCGAAATAAAAATTAAGAAATCGGTATTTACTGTTTGAACACCCTAGTCGGTGGTTTTGTCCTTTCAGTTGACTTCTAATGGGGTGCCACCGCCAGCTAATTTACAAGTGGCACCATCTCCTCCACTTATGCTTTATTTTCTGCTTACAAAAGTCCAAGACAGACGGAACATGAACCAAAGAAAAACGATGGGTGGAAGAAGAAGGAAGGGAGTAAATTATAAATTAGTCCCTCTAGTTTAGTTTGGAGAAATGAACTAATTAGCCCCCATTGTTTTAACAAATAATCATGTAATCCATATATTTGTAATTTTCTTATAAATTAGTCCTTTTCACGCCCTTTTGCTTAATTTTGATTTTTTATTTTAAGGAAAAAAATAAGGATGGATGAAAAAAAGTGATGTTTTATGAAATAAAATAGTATTAAATAAATACAATTAACACTGATTAAAGGAATTAAATGATTAGTTTTTCAAATAAACAGGACTAATTAATTCGTTTTAAAAAAATAGAAAGATTAATTTATAATTTACTCCAAGAAGGCCATCATGAATGGAACGTAGACATTTTGAGGTTGCTTCATTCTGCCCCCAGTTATTGCTGGACCAAAGGAGCGATGGATCCATTATTATGGTTTGACTAACTTGACCCACTTGCCTAACTTCGGTTGGAATCTTTGAATTTTCAGAAGATTTTTTTCCTCCTAAAATGCACTCTGAAATGTTCTCTCTGAGACAATAAATTTAATTTTAATTGATATATGAGTAAAAAAAATAAAAATTTGTTTTTGAACTCTCTTTTTAAAATATTCTAATGAATAATGAACTAAATATTAATAAAACAATAGTATTCATTTATGTTAATAGATAATTTATTCATAAATATAAATACCTATTTTTACACTATTAATGCATATCTTTTATCCAATAACATTAAAAATATTAAAATATAAATATAGTTTTTTTAAAAAAAACAAAGCATTACAGTTCAGAAATCACTACAATTTTAAGCTACAGAAATGGAATAGTGCCCAAGTGAACTATCTTCTCATGGCAATTTATACTTTTATCTTATATTGCATCTTTATGTGCTTTTTAAATTCTTCTTTATTATTTGCAGGATTAGATTTTGGCATCTTAACTATTTGATTTTTTTTTTTTTGTGAGCTTTTTTTATAAACATTTTTCGAATCTTGCAAACTTTACAGTTACAAAGCAATACATGAATGATGCAAAATTTATCCATGAGTCGACTGTGTTTGTGACAAAAAAAAAAATTCAGTAAAAAAAATTGGAAAAAAAAGGTCTTCAATTTAAGGAAAAAATTATACTTTTATCTTATATTGCATCTTTATGTGCTTTTTAAATTCTTCTTTATAGTTTGCAGTATTAGATTTCGACATCTTAACTATTTGATTTTTTTTTTTTTTTGTGCTTTTTCTATGAACATTCTTCGAGACATGCAAATTTTATAGTTACAAAGCAATACATTGATGATGCAAAATTTATCCATGAGTCAACTGTGTTTGTAATAAAAAAATTCGATAAAAAAATTAGAAAAAAAAATCTTCAATTTAAAAAAAAATTAGTGAGTAAATAGATATTAACGAGTATAATATAATAAATATAAGTTGAATAAAAAAATAAATAAGTAATTATTATTAGATAATAAATAAAATAATAGATAAAATATTTTTTTATGGATAGGATATGAGATCGGCTTAACGAAGCCCTTGGAACCCAAATTGAATAGTTGAAATTAAATGATCTGAGAAAAGATTTATTATTATTATTTTTTTTTATATAGAATGACTCTCGGATAAGACAAGGGAAAATAAATAAGCAGGGCCCGAAAGTGAATGATGTCATACTTTATGGACTAATAATTTAATATGGTTTGAGTTTTCTTTTCCTAACTTGTCCATTTTTTGTCGACTCCTTACGCTTTATTGCTGATCTCTTATTTATTACTATTATTTTATAAAAATATACACGATAAAAATAATCAGGCAAACTACAAATATATCTTCCCTTTATTCATTAGGTTTCAATTTCATCTCCTTTCTATTGATTGACCCAATATCACCCTTAAGGCCTTAACCCAATGGTATCTTTCCAAATCCCTCCACTTGTTAAATTACTTTCTAAATTGCATTCAAATGTCATGTTTTACTTCAATTATAGCAAGAAAAGCTCTTTCTCCTCATGTGAAAGAGAGAATTTGCTCTCCGTCAAACTCTCTTTTATACCAATTGTTCATAGTTTATCACTAAGAAAATACAAAACAAAAGATAAAACAAAAAAGTGATAATTTGAACTTTCGCAAATAGTTCTTGTAAGACTAGATTCTAGTACAATTAAACTTTATGAAATCCTTTCAATATCGAAAAAAAAGATAATAATAAAAAAAATTATAAAGAAAATAGTTATTTCAAATTAGTAATTTCAAGAGGTATTTGATTCATACAATTTTTATTATAAATGTCATATGTTTATCTAGATTATAACTTAAAATTCAATTTAAATGTTAATTATCATTTTAATGTGTTGAATATATAACGGTGTAATACAATTATAAAAAAGTTTTATTTGAATACATTTAAAATTTTATATATATATATTTTTTATCGTTATTTCTAGCTACAAGTTTTATTTTATGGGTTATCATATTTTTAATGTATTGATTGCAATGACGTATAGTTCTATTTTATAGATTTAGGTAAAAAAAAAAAAAAAGAAGAAGAAGAAGAAAAACTAGCATGTTAATGATTAATTACAAAATAAATAAAACTAGTACCTATTTTCTTACAAAACCCTCTGGTTAAAACCAAGAAAAAAAAGCTTGGGAAATCTCTTCCAACTATACACTAACAATACCAAAGTGTAGAGATTGGAACGATCTTGAGAAGTCAAAACTGTAGACATTTATAGTATGGGGACCGTATTGAAACATACTCAATCATCAAAGGACATATCAGGATATCATTTTCTCTCTCCCAGTAGAATCTGAATATTTTATTTATAGTATCTAATAAAAACGTTAATGACAGCGCCACATGCACACTCACTCTGCTCTCTCATCCAGAGTCCTTCCAGCACACAAAAAAGGTACAATTTTTTTCTCAACTTTTCTTGAGAACGAAACAGAACCTCCATCATTCTTACTTCCGTGTCTCACTTGCTTGCTTACTTTACTGTTCCTCTACACAATCGTATCGCATTTCTCATGCGCTTTTGATTTCTGGAAATAGAAATAAATCAATCACTAATAATTGTTTGTTCCTTCGATAGAGACTGAAAATGTGGAGTTTAAAGATAGCAGAAGGAGGAAATCCATGGCTAAGAACAAATAATAATCATACCGGAAGACAGATTTGGGAATTAGATCCGACACTTACTTTATCTCCTCAAGAGATCTCAGAGATCGAAAATGCGCGTCAGAATTTTACTAAAAACCGGTTTCAATTCAAGCATAGTGCAGATCTAATCATGCGCATGCAGGTAAATTATTGTGATTAAAAAATAATTCACATTCGTTCTTTTTAAAAGTATATTTTGCAACGAGTGGCATTGTGGTGATTTTTGTTGTTCTGAAGCTTGAGAAGGAGAATCCGGTGTCGGAGGTGTTGCCGCAGGTGAAAGTGAAGGAGGGTGAGAAAGTTACGGAGGAGGCGGTTACTTCTACGTTGAAGAGAGGTTTGAATTATTATTCCCGTATTCAAGCTCATGATGGACACTGGCCTGGTGATTATGGTGGTCCTATGTTTCTTATGCCAGGATTGGTAATCTATAATTTATTTGAATTTAATTTCTTTTTCGTTGTTTTTTTTTTTTTTTTTTTTAAGAATTTTGAGTTGTTTATTTATTTATTGTTTTTATTTTTGTCTGTTAATTGATGGATTATTAGGTGATTACTTTGTCAATTACTGGAGCGCTGAATGCAGTGTTATCAGATGAACACAAAAAGGAGATGATCCGTTACCTTTACAATCATCAGGCATGTGGTTGTTTTTTCGAAATTTTTTAGCTTTATTAGAATTTAGTGTGAATCTTCGATTATTATTATTATTATTTTTTTAATTTGGAGATGTGTGTAATTTGCAGAACAGAGATGGGGGATGGGGTTTGCATATTGAGGGACCGAGTACGATGTTTGGTTCGGTGTTGAATTATGTTACTTTAAGGTTGCTTGGAGAAGGGCCGAATGATGGAGAAGGTGCGATGGAGAAAGGGCGTGATTGGGTTCTGAATCATGGTAGTGCGACTATGATAACATCGTGGGGGAAAATGTGGCTTTCAGTTCAGTAATAAAACCCTGTTTCTGGTTGGTTTTGAGTTTTAGTTTTGTTTGGGGTTTTCGTTTGATGTTTTAATTAAGTATTGACTGATGGCAACAGGTGCTTGGAGTCTTTGAGTGGTCTGGGAATAATCCAATGCCCCCTGAGATGTGGCTTCTTCCATATTTGCTGCCAGTCCACCCAGGTTCTTGCCTGTTTACATGCGCTTTCAGTATTTTTTTCCTATGTTTTGCACAATACATAAATCTGAATGTTAGGGATCTATGTCTATACGCATGTCAAGATGTGTAGAAAATGAAACAATACTATATATTCTCTGCAGGGAGGATGTGGTGTCACTGCCGGATGGTCTATCTGCCTATGTCCTACTTATATGGGAAGAAGTTTGTTGGCCCAATCACACCAACAGTTTTGTCTTTACGAAAGGAGCTGTTCACTGTCCCATATCATGAAATAGACTGGAATCAAGCACGCAACCTATGTGCAAAGGTTGGTAAAATTTGCAACTTAAACCCTTAAAATACTTGATTTACATTTTCACTTGTTACACCATTTACATCATGTGAAGATTGTTAGCGAATCTTTAGGATGTGCCATTGAGATGAACAAGCATTTGATTCAGTATTCCTGTTTGACATATGGTTAAGGCTTTCTTAAATATGCACAAGGTATGTGGTACTGGATACTATGATTTAGTTAAATAAGAAAAAAGTATTACTAGTATACAAATTATAAAGATATGCAAATAATCCTTCTATCCATGACATACTAATTCCCATGATGACATTATCAACACCAACTTTTAGTTCCACTATGGTGCAGCTGAAGGAATTGTAATGATTAATATAAGAGATGCCATGTTCTTTAATTCTATTGGTTTTTTTTTTCTTTCTTTCTGGTTTTTTTTTTTTTTTTCACCTTTTGGTGCTTAAAAATACATTGCTTATCTTTTGCAGGAGGACTTATACTACCCTCATCCTTTGGTGCAAGATGTACTTTGGGCATTACTTGACAAGGCTGCTGAACCTGTTCTAATGCATTGGCCTGGAAAAAAGTTGAGAGAAAAGGCACTTCGTACTGCAATTCAGCACATACACTATGAAGATGAAAATACTCGTTATATTTGCATAGGACCTGTAAACAAGGTATGCATTTTAATTCTGTTATTGTTGTCAAAATTTTGGTACTTAATTTGAAATTGTGAAAAATGATCATTTAAGTAACATGTTCTACATTTTTCAGATCTGCAATGAATCTGATTCCTTTAGTTCTCGTTTAGATGTCTCTTTGAGATGATTTTCTTTCCTTTGGTTCCTTTCATTTTCTTGAAATCATTTTCCAATACGTATGACTTGATTCATCAGTATTTAGCAGCAGCTTCATGCATGTGGGGCAATGCCATCAATAATATTGCAGTTAGGCAACAATGGGTGTCTTTCTTTGTTTTTCTAACCTGTTTGTCTTTTGTTATACAGGTGTTAAATATGCTCTGTTGTTGGGTGGAAGACCCTAACTCAGAAGCTTTCAAGTTGCATCTTCCTAGAATACATGATTACCTGTGGCTTGCTGAAGATGGAATGAAAATGCAGGTCCGCAATCCTAATTTCTGCATTCTTCATCTCAATTTCTTTTTTCTAGTTGGTGCTTTTGCAACCAGTGGGTGGGGGACTGGGTGTTCAAAAAGGAATATCGGGGAGAAGTTACTGATGAACTGTTTTACTTGATAAGTATTCATGCAAGTCGTAATTGGCAAAGATTTGCAATACAATGAGTTGGCTTTTTAACTCATTGTTTGCTGTTGTAGCAATGTATGGGTGCTATGTTGTTGAAAACTCATGGGAGGTTCTGTGGGCAATAGATTCAGGTTATGTTTTTTTTATATGGTGCACTGTGAGGCCGAAATTACGAGCTACTGTAGACATGATAATTTTGTTCCAGGGTTACAATGGAAGTCAATTGTGGGACACTGCTTTTGCTGTTCAAGCAATTATTTCAACTAATCTTGTGAAGGAATACAGCCAAACTTTAAGAAAAGCACATACATACGTGAAAAATTCACAGGTGTGTTTTTTTCTTAATTCATTGGTGTTTCATGTTGGAGAGCTTTTATAATGCTGTCTCTTTAACTACTCGAACTTTAACCATGTTGATCCATTATTCTTTGCTTTAAAGGTTTTGGAAGATTGCCATGGAGATCTTAGTTTCTGGTATCGCCATATTTCCAAAGGTGCATGGCCTTTCTCCACTGCAGATCATGGATGGCCCATCTCAGATTGCACAGCAGAGGGACTAAAAGTAATGGCTGATCAGATTAAAAGTTCTCATTATGCTTGTTTTATTTCTGTAACTTATATAGCCAATCTTTAACAGGCTGCTCTCTTATTATCGAAAATTCCACCTGAGATTGTTGGGGAACCATTAGTTGCAAACCGATTTTATGATGCAGTAAATGTCATCCTCTCATTACAGGTAATTTATGACTATATGATATTGCTAGTGAATGTATCTGAAGTCTGCATTAATGTGACAACATTGAGTTATGAGTTATTCATGCTCTGTAACATGTAGGTTCTGAGTGTTTAAACATGCAAAAAGATATAAAATTCCAATATTACAACTATACCAAT